ATTGAAAGTGGGAAATGGTAAGCTCATCTCTGCCAATAATGACTCCATTTATGACATGTTCACTTTTAGCTTTATGTATTAGGATACTGAACCCTCAACTACCAAGTTGAAGGAAAAATGCGACAATGAGCAACTTTGCCTCAAGCCTTTATTCATGCAAATTTGCCATGAAGGGGACCCATTAATAAGAATGGAAATAAAAGCAATCGAGATACATGTATGGATCCACGCTCACCATTTCTCACCAAAACACATATACCTTATTTCAAAGTCTATGAAATCCCGTTCAACATTGTCAAAAGGCTTCTCGAAATCAATTTTGAAAAAGAGGCTTTCATCATGATCTTTCTTAACTATTCTACTGTGGATCTTCTGTTTTTGTTTTTTTAGTAGTTTTTGTAAAAGGAGGTAGAGGAGAAAGATTGTGATTTGCTTTAAAAAAGGGAGATTTGCAAAAAGAGAGAGATGGAGCAATTTTTGAAAAAAGAAAAGAAAATAAGAAATTATGTATTTAATATTAAAATCTTTTTTAATAAATAAAAGAGAAAATTTTAAATAGTATTTGATTATAGTTTTAAATTTTAAATATTCTTTTTTTTTAATTTTTGTAAAAATAAAAAATTTAAATTTTATTATTTTATTGTTAGATTTTTTAATTTTTTTAAGTCTTTGTATAGAAGTAAAAAGAGAGATCACGATTTACATTAAAAAATATTGATTTGCAGAAAGAGGGAAGGGGAGATCGATTGAAAGAGTAGAATTTTTTTGAAAAAGCTTACATGATTTTTTTTGAAAGAAGAAAATTCTTTTTTAGACCTTTTTTTTAATTTGCATAAAGAGGGTGAGCGAGATCAATTGAATGAGAGGAATGCTTTTTGAGAAAGCTGACATTTTTTTTTTAATTTTTTTTATATTAAAAAATTAAATTTTATTTTTTAAACAAAAACTGAAATACTGGAGTACATGCTTTTCTTTAAGTTTTTTTTTTTAATTTTGTTTTTCAAAAAAAATTATATTTTTTAAGAGTTTAAGAAAACTGCTTTCTTTTAAGAGTATCTCCAACTCTTATCTAACACTCAGATAAGCTGAAAAAATATCGAACAAGACGCTAATTTTAGTATCTTGATGCGATTATTATTTTTTGTGGTAAAAGAGTAGCATGTAATTGATGATGGGAACTCCATTCTCAACGGTAGGAAGTTAGAATCAGAACCATAGATACCGCTCAATCTTATCGCGTTATCTACGTTGATCCATTCCATGTTATTTCTCCAAAACAACACAAATCTGTTCAATCTTATCACAAACATTAGCCATACTTATCATCCAACTTCCCCGTAAATCACCCTCCTCAATTTGCCTTCTTTTACTCTTTTATTTTTCTTTTCCTCCTTTATGAAGTCAATACAATTTTAAAATTAGAGAAAAATAAAATAAAATTCCAGCTAAAGCACACCACAAAGGCAGAAACAGATCAGAAAGGGTTTTTGTTTTCCTTCCCGTCTTTATACATATCGTACGGCAGATGAGAGCCTTCTCTCGCTTCAAATCGACCAAGCCGTCCGATTGGTTGTCAAACACATATTATTATCCTAATTAAACCCAGCTAAGGAAAAAAAAAA